TGAACTGCGGGAAACCCCTATATATACGCCTTTAACAAACTCATGAATATATCAATTATGAATCCCAAAAAAACATGCAACGGTTCTTTCTTACACTTGTATAAACATCAACATTAACAGTCGAGTATACATAATTTTACACGTGTATAAACATCAAAAAAACATGTGCGTCCTACAAATTATTTCCCACGTAATCAATACCAAATCTCATACGTTGCTCACTGAAAATTGCTCGAGCAGCCGAAAACCACTATGTATATTGTTACGCCGCCGCTTCTCTGATCATACAAACAAATTATTATTTACATGAATTAGAATTCCCAGTGATTATTATTTATGTGAATTAGAATTCCCACTCCACCGTAACGGAAATCTGTAATAAATAAACGGTAATCGTGGAATTAGTTAAGAACGTGTTATTTAAGTGTATAACGGTAATAATTAAGTGTTTTTAATTAAAAAAAAAACTATTTTGAATTTATCTTAAATATGAAAAATAAAGTTGAGCCTAATGTAATGACCCTCGTGTAATGAGGAAATTTGTCAAATTTTCCCATATATATAATTCTTTTTGGGGCCCCTTTGAGAGTGGGGCCCAAAGGCATTGCTTGTGCGGCATAGCCTCATGGGCGGGCCCGCATGCCCATGCCATCAGGGGCATTTTTGAGAATTTGGGGCTATAGGCGAAATTTAAAGAATAATTTAAATGGGACCCCATTTGAAAAAAAATAATTGTTTACAAGGGTGTTCGAAATTGAATATACTAAAAGAATATAAATAACATTTCATAAAAGTGATGAACTAAAAGGCTACGGGGTTCAGGGGCAGCGCCCCCAATTTTTTTTTGAAATGTATGTATATAAATAACTTAAAATATAGAAAAATTTCAACATTAACCGAATTATCTGCAGGTTCACTTACAGCGATATATAATCTTTATAGCAAATAAACTTTCTAAATAGGGATTATTTGACAAACCCCCCTCATATGCATTGTACTATTTCCGTAACAGAATATTGTAATCACATAGTGGTTTTTGTTAAGTTTATAATGGATTTCAATGTGTCAAAAATAATTTTTTTTATAATTTAACTTTGAAAAACAGAAGTATAAAAAATAAAAAACCAAATTTGAAAAAATGAAAAATAAACTTTTTGAAAAACAAAATCAAAATTTTCTTATGAAGAAATCGGAAATAAGAAAAGAAATAAAAATGACATTTTAAAATTGATTTGGGAGCATTATTTTGGGCATAAATCTGAAGCCTGATTTGGGTATATAATTTTTGGAGAAGATTTGGGTTGGGTGTAGATTATGGGTATAATTTTTTTTTTAATTTGAATAGTTATACTAATTACTAATTAGTGGGGGCATATATGGTTTTTCAGGCCCATTAGATTTTATGTCAAATATCAATTACAAATAAATGATTTATCAAGAAGTAAAATTTCAATGGGGGTGTTTTCTCGTATAGCCCCTTATAAATATTTTATAAAAAGAAACTTGAATAAACTCATGAATATTGCACTACAAGAAAAAAGACTTTTAACAACATGAATTTAACAAGGTGCAGCTACCGCGTGTTGTGATATTGTATATTTAACAAAATGCCTTTATTGAGTGTTGTTGTTAGCGCCGAAATAATATATTTTACAACACTCATATTTTGCGTCTTGTTAAAGTTATACACTACAAGACGCGGACGCATGTGGTAAATTTCCTGTTCACAAATTGCATACAACAAGCTGTTGAGCACCTTGTCGAATAATGTAACTGCAACAACAAACAAAACACGTTGTCGAATTAGGTAGAATTTTATGTTTAAAATTGTATAAAATTACAACTCATTCGCTCATATTGTAACATGTAACAACTAACACAGCATATTGGAGAAGTGGATTAATTTTAATAAATAAATTTTATAATACCGTATAAAACATTGATTTTATTAATATTTAGTTAAAAATGATTAAAATATACACAATGAATTAAATCTGATCAACATTTTGAAGAAAATATTGGAAAAAAAGTATGGCCAACTAATGTGCGATAGAAACAAGAAAGCGTCTATTAAAAAACTCAAACGCTTACATTTGAAACTAATTTATTTTCACTAGCGTTTTTAATAGAATACAAGGAAGAGCAAAATCTAGAAAAATCACAAAACTGCAAGTCTTGAAACTGCAAAGGGGAAGAAGCGAGTGAAAGAAAAATCTATAAATGGGAGCCGGAAGGCCGTCTGGGATGAACGGTAAAGCTCTTAATTTTCGTAACGCACGATCATCGATTCCTGTACGCTCTCGTTTTCTTCGGAAAAAAATGATCATTTTATCTATTTTTCCCCGGGTCGTGTTTTTTTTTGGGGTTTTTTTAGGGTTCTTATTTTCTGTATGTAAATTCGGAACGAAGAAGGTTGTTGATGCAAATTCACATCTCGCTCGCTGATCCTTGCCAGGTATAGTTGGGTATATGATTTTTGATCGATTATTTGTTTGATTTATGGAGAGTAGTTATAAGAAATTTAGACGGGAAATTTGGGAAAGAGATAAGTAAATAGTAATAAAAATAGATTTTTTTACTTAATCTCCCTCTGTTGGTATAATCCAATTGACTTGAATTTTGTAATTGTACATTGTCTCTAGTTTACAATTATACAATCAACTTTTCAAACTGACCCCTATGAGTTTTAGAAAAGTTATATATCTACGGCTGTATTAGAGGCGACCAAAGATTTTGATGGGTGAGCACAACGCATATGTTCCGTTGATTAACTATCTCCTGATGAACTTTGATTGGAGGGATACCGCTCTTAAAGATCAGGTATTCTTATAATTAACAAGTATTTTCACTTTTCATGTCGAACAGATTTTATTATTATTTACCCTAACTGACAAAAATCAAATCTACAGTAGTATATTTTAGTAATTCTATTTTATATTAATTCCTCAACTGATTTGTTAATTGGTTTGTGTATGAAATGATTTATATTATAATCCTTGTAGCTAGCCCTACCATGTCAACTCTTCATCCTAAATTCCTAACCATGAAACTCAAGCTTTGAACCCCTGATTTAGTATTCTTACACTCGATAGGTATGTGTATGCATACTTTCGAAATTGGAAATAAGAATATAAGTCAATTGATTTTTTCCATTACATCTACTACTTCTTTGCCATAAAGATAGATGAATTATGGAAAAAGAGAGGTGGGGGATGCTTACGCGCACGAAGACTTTACAGTTGGATTTCTTATATCCATGTTGTTTATATTTTTCTTATCAATTAATATGTATTTGAAGTTCAACCTCAGCCAAAAAAGAGTGTCTCATCTCCAATTAGTCTCTTATTTTAATCTGTCTCTTGAATCATTCTTGTTTACCTTTGATTTTTCTTGCACTTTGAACAAAATTTGTTTATCCTTTGCAGTTATCTGAAGCATTGTATGGCTCATATTCTCCAGAAAATGCTCGTTTCCTTAAAGCCTATTATAAAGGATCCAGATCTTGTCGTATACTTGACAATGAATTGTTGTAAGTAGTTTTACGGTGATGATATCACGCTAATATTTGATTTTATATCAATCATCTTTATGCCCTATATCTCCTTCGGGGATAACCCTAATATGTAGATATGGTGAATCATTTCATGTCTTGGTTGAAGCTCTTGATATGTCTTTTGTCAACTATGGTGATGTTGTGTTTCTAATTATTATTTTTAGTTGCATTATGAGCAAGTTAATATCTTACTGTTTGTACACTTTACAAGGTGAGTTGTTTTCTTTTCTTTATATATTGATATTTTTATTACAAGAAAATGTGAATCATTTCTACTTGTATAGGTTTTTGCTTGTTGTTGACATTATGCTATGGACTGATTGAAAATGGTGGGACTACCATTCATATTTTATGCTATAGAATTGAAATGAAGTAAATATGGTAGTACGTGGATTATTTTAAGAGGTCTTTCAGTCTTTGAGCATTTTATAGTGTTTCTATTCTAATTGTGATATGTTTAATATTTTTACATGCCCGATTTCAGAGGTGAATGTGGAGAAAGCTGAAGCACAAGGAAAAGAGAGAAATATCGAAAGATTGGAAAACGTGACATTGTGCGACTGTGCAAGTGTTCTAGAGGGCTATTCTATGTCCTGTACCAGAGTTTGTTTGTTTGCTATTGAATATTAGTTGGGATTTGGCATATCATACAAATACATTGAATAACTATAGGTTTTTTATGAATGAATTACATTTTGTTTGATTTCAACTCTTGAATGTTTTGTAAATTTAATCTTTTGATTCCAATGTGAAAATTTAAGTTATTGTCATTTTCTTATTAATGTTTGTTAATAGTAATTTACAAAAAAAATAAAACAATTTAAATTTTATAATATATTATTGTGGCATTTATTTTTTGTTATATAATTGGTACAACGTGTAGATACACGTTGTATTTTGTGTATAACAAGATGCTAGAACGCCTTGTTGAAGACATTATGACAACAAACTGATGAATGTTGTTAATTACTTACAACAACAGGCATAATGGGTTGTTGAATATTATATACAACATACAATTATGTATTCTACAAGAGTTGATGTACGTTGTGAAACATACTGCGATTTAACAACATGTCCATCGACAATGGGCGGTCGTGTGTTGTCATTGGCGTTTAACAACACGCATTGAGTGTTGTTAATTGGTCTTTTTCTTGTAGTGTTGATTTAAATTTTAGGAATAAAAATAAGTAATTAAGACATTATAAATTTAATATTTAGGGGTTCTAAGGTTAAGAAAATTGTAAAAATATCTACTGATCATTAATTTTAAATTTATTTTCATAATTGATGTTCCAAATATTATATATAATAAATTTTAAAAAATAAGTACGAATATATAAAGTGTATATAAAAATATTTGGGGTCCTAAATTTTGGAGCCCTAGGCGACCGGCTACTTCGCCTCCCCTCGATAACCGACCCTACATACCATGCATGTAGCGGTCGCCGAGTATCAATATTGCCCACTCGAACCAAGCATCGTTCCGTACTTTCCCGGACAAAGCATCCACGCAATGAATATCCATCACTCAACCACCGTTTAGTCGATGTGTGGTTGTTTCGTGGCATCATTATTTAACTCGTTCCACCCTTATATCTGGCCACACTCGAGTCATATCCGATATCACCGACTAAGATACTGACAAATCCAAACTTCAGTGAAATTTACAGAATTCAATTCAACGTGGATAAAACATAATTCATGGATCAAAATCCATATTCATGTATGCTTAAGCATTTCATTGACTTGTGCCCATATGTGGAATTACCAAAAAGACCAAACAAAAGATATTTCATACAATTAAATCCGACCTTATTATCAAATTAATATCAGATAATTATTAATTTAACCCAACTCCGCCAAATTTAATTTGCTCATAAATTTCGCCGATCAATCCCTCCGGCGCACAGCAAGCTATTTCACTGTACTCATGGCTTTTGCATGGATTTCGTCGAAAACTTTCACCAATTTATCATCGTCATCATCATCGGCAATTCACAGTTTGTATCCATGGAAACTGTGCAAATTCAATCATCATCCGTCGAGAAGAAGTGCGAATTGCAGCAGCTGCAAGTGCGGATTATCTTCAACGGGTGACCTGAAATTTGTGCTTCATGATGCCCTTGATTTAGTTGGCCTCAGTACCACCCACGCAAGGGTAATTACTTTTTTAATTTTCCGTTGATGAGAATTTTTATCTGCTTCTACTATGTATGTAATTTGTATGAACTCTTTTGATTTGAATCAATTTAGGGTTTCAATGGGTCGTGAAAGGAAATGAACTGAAATTTCTTGGGATTAGTGACACAGAAAATGTAATTCAGGGATTCCCAAGAATTTTTGGCATTGCCTTTTTTTTTTGGTCATTTTAGATTTTAATTTAATCAAATGTTCATTCAATATGAATTGTTTAGAATCCAAGAATCAAACTGAGTGCTGACTGAATTAGCATCATAGAAAGAGAATCGAAGTTTACGATAGCTAGTTTAGTTTAGATAGTTGATTGCTTTATGATTCAATTTTATGTGGAAGAAGGCTACAGTTAGTGCTTAAACTCAATATAGTTTAATCTCCCGAGACTCACTTATTGTACAATATTTTACGAAACAAATCAGTGTTAATTTACATTGTACTGCTGTAAACAAATGTTGATAATTATGCTATGTTAGATTTTATCATTCAGGATAAAAGGACTAACAAAATAAAACAAGTTTTGTTGACGGGCTCGGGTTTTTTTTGATTGATTAGTTTGGAATTTTGCTATCAAAACTCTTCTATTATGACGAAGATGCTTTATAATGTGGTCGTGGTCTTGTCTAGGCATACTTCTCTTAGCCCGAAAGCACGACTGATACAACCACGTAGTGAAATCTGAAAGCTGTTCTTTATAGAAATAACCCATATTATCTTTGTTTACGATATATTTTGCATTTTGGTTGATAATAAGACATGATGGCAGCTGACGACTAAAGATTGCGGAATTTTTATGGGTCTATTTTTTAAGTAACTGCACTATGGTATCTCAATTATGTAATATAGAGGAACATTTTGAATAAAAAATAGTGCTGTTTGTTACTAAGTCTTCTTTCTTAAGACTTACTAGTGTCAAAGAAGATTAATTTCGATGAAGCCCAACTATAATTGTGAAATCTTTTCCCTGGACTGTTTTTAACCCCCCGTTTCCGTGTTCAGCAATTCAATTTCCACAATTTGGCGTAATAGAATATTTGGATATGCCAAGGTATCTACTATCTAATCTATGATCATCTCTTGAGGTAAAAGCATGTTTGTATGCATGGGACAGTGTGAATTGGCTGCGATTACTCTGACAGAGGACTGGTATATTCTTTTGGTGGACTAAATGGAGTTTACACATTTCATTTGTTAGTCGAACTTGTTAAGTGTGACATGGATGCATAATCTATCAATTCTCAGTGGTCCCATTTTTTTTTTCCTTTTTCCAATTATCGCAACATTCTTCTGATTTCGTAAATTATATTTTTCATGTTTCTTGTTAATTAATAATGATATCCCGTTCTATCTGTGTTGAACAGGCTGCAAGAGTTGGTTTCTGCTCACAGATTGAAAAACTATCTGAGATTGAGAGAGAAACGAGCATAACTGTGAATAAAGGGGTCGATTTAGGCAGAGCAGCTCTTCATATAGCAGCTGAGGATGACTCCCTTATCTCGCACTCGTCTGTTCCGCTTCCAGTGGATGATTTCATCGAAAGATTGAACTGTCTTTCCATGGGCTATTGCTCTCATTACGGCTCTTCATTTAGATCCACGCCGGAGAATTTTCTCGACTGTTTAGAAAGATACCTATATGTTAATAAAGTAAGTTAAGCTTCTATTTACATATATATATATATATATATATATATATATATATATATATATATATATATATATATATATATATATATATATATATATATTTCATTAGCTTAAG